CACAGAACATTCCCGAGAGCAGATCATATGTTAGGCCACGAAACAAGTCTTAATAAAGTTAAAATGACTGAGCTCATATCAAACATCTTCACCAAAACCACAATGGTATGAAACTAGCAATCAATTACAAGAAGAAAACTGGAAAATTCACAAATATGTGGAGATTAAACAACATACTACTGAACAATGAGTCAGAGAAGAAATCAAAACAGAAATCGAAAACACATCTTGAGGAAAATGAAAATGGAACTTGAACACACTACAACTTAGGAGATGCAGCAAAAGCAGTTCTGAAAGAAGTTCATAGCAACAAATTCTTACATTAGGAAAAAAGAAAGATCTCAAACCACCTAACTTAATACCTCAAGGAACTAGAATAGAAAAAGAAACTAAGCTAAAAGTTAGTAGAAGGAAAGAAATAACGAAGCTAAGAGGAGAAATAAATGAAATAGGAACTAAAAAGATAATAGAAAAAATTGAGGAAACTAAAAGTGGATGCTTAGAAAAGATAAAGAAAATGGACTAATCTTTAGCTAGACACACTTAAAAAAATTAAAAAAGAGGGCTGAAATCCAATCAGACATGAAAGAGGAGACATTATGACTGACACCAGACAGACACAAGGATCATAAGAGACTACTCTAAAAATGATATAGAAACAAATGGGACAACCTAGAAGAAAACAGACAAATCCCTAGAAACATACAACCTACTGGAACTGAATCAGGAGGAAACAGAAAATCTGAACAGATCAATTACTAGTAAGGAAATTGAATCAGTAATCAAAAATCACTCAACAAAGAAAAGACCAGGACCAGACAGCTTCATTGGTGAATTCTACCAAACACTCAAAGAATTAATACCAATCCTTCTTAAACTACTACAAATATTGAAGAGGGAAGACTTTCAAAATCATTCTACAAGATTTGCATTAACCTGATACCAAAATAAGGCAACAACATTAGAAGAAAAGAAAATCACACAACACAATCCATGATGAACACAGACGCAAAAATCCTCCACAAAATATAAGCAAACTGAATTCATCAATACATTAAAAAGATCATACACCATGATCAAGTGGAATTTATTCCAGGAATACAAGAATGGTTCAACATCTGCAAAACAGCATGAGACAGCACAGTAATAGAATGGAAAGAAAAATCGTGATCATCTCAATAATGCAGAAAAAGCATTCTACAAAACTCAACATCCATTCATGATAAAAAGCCTTAAAATTAGGGACATATATCAACATAATAAAGGCCATATATGACTAGCCCAGAGGAACATCATACTCAATAATGAAAAGCTGAAAGCTTTTGCTCTAAGATCAAAAAGAAGACAAGGATGCCCACCTTCACCACTTGATTCAACTTAATACTGCAAGTTAGAGTAATTAAGGGAAAAAAAAAAAAGGCATCTAAATTAGAATAGAGGTAAAACTTTCTTTGTACCGGACATGATATATATACAGAAAACCTAAACAGTCTACCAAAAACTGTCAGAACTACTACATGAATTCAGTAAAGTCACAGGATACAAAATCAATATACAAATATCAGTTGTGTTTCTATAAGATAACTATCAGAAAAAGATTTAAGAAAATAATCCCATTTACAATTGCATCAAAAAATACCTTGGAATAAATTTAACTAATGAAGTAAAAGATCTGTATGGTAAAAACCAAAACACTGATGAAAAAAACTGAAGAAACCACTAGTAAATGGAAAGCTATTCCATGCTCATGGATTGGAAGAATTAAATATTCGTAAAATGTCTACTACCCAAGCAATCTACAGATTTCAATGCAAATCCTGACCAAAATTCCAATGGCATTTTTTCACAGAAACAGAACAATCCTAAAATTTGTATGGAATGACAAAAAACTCTGAATAGCCAATCCTGAGAAAGAAGAATAAGGCTGGAGGCATCACTTTCTAATTTTAAACTATATCAAAAAGATTTAGTAACCAAAACAGCATGATGCTGGTGTAAAAACAGACACATAAATCAAAAGAACAATATAAGAGCAGAGAAAGAAACCCGTGCATATATGGTCAATTAATTTTTGACAAAGCAATTAAGAATAGTCAATGGGCAAAGGACTATCTCTTCAGTAAATGGTGCTGGGAAAACTGGAAGGCCACATCAAAGAATAAAATCATATTTCTATCTTTTATTTACACAAAACTCAGTTTCTCCTCACTTTTTTGTATTTTCTTCCTACATTTTTAATCTCCTAACAAACATTTACTATTCTGTTGGTCATTTGTCACTGTTCAGTCTGCATATATATATATTTAATAAAATCATATAACATTTATATGTATATATATCTAAGGATTCAAATATTATCTATAATCAGCTTTCCCATTTAAAAAAAGTGATTCTTCCTCTAATTGGCAGAAATTTTCCAAAGTTGGAGAGGAAAATCGTTTTATAATTTCAAATGTCTTAATCCAAGAATCCTTATATTCTTATCAAAATTTCTTTAGTCTGTCATCAGTCTCCCAGTAATACTGTTACACGATCTGTAAAATTTTCATAAAAATTAATAGGCCAAAGAAAAAGTGTTCCCTCCTTTTGAGAGCTTTTATAAAATAAACATAACATAAACTGAATGTCTATTATATATCAGATACTTTCACATGTGTTATCTCATTTAATCTCATTATTACTCACATTTTCCAGAAGAGAACACTGCAATTCAGAAAGGCTATACATGGTGTCAAAGGTTATACATATAATAAGAAAAGTCAGGCTTTGGTCTTAGGTGTGTCTGCTTACAAAGTCAAGATCATTCTACTAACAGGGGTTGGCAAACTCAATAAAAAGCGCCGAAGAGTTAGTATTTTAGGCTTCGGGCCATATGTCTTTGTCACAACTACTCAACTCTGCTGTTGTAGCCCAAAAGCAATTGTAGACAATATGGAAACAAATAGGAATAGCTGTGTTTCAGTAAAACTTTATTAATAAAAACAGATGGAGGGTCAAATTTAACTCAAGGTTCATAGTTTGCCAATCCCTTCACTTTCCTACAATGCAAAACCCCTATTAGGTTTTCATTATGACCAGTAAATTTTAAGTCTCTCTCTCTTTAAAAAAGTATTACCTTAATCTCACTGGGAAATTTAAAAAATGTTTTTAATGTTTATTTATTTTTGAGAGAGAAAGAGAAGGTGTAAACAAAAGAGGGCAGACAGAGAAGGAGACACAGAATCCAAAGCAGGCTCCAGGTTCTGAGCTGTCAGCACAGAGCCTGACACAGAGCTCGAACTCAAGAACCACTAGATCATGACCTGAGCTGAAGTCAGACACTTAACCGACTAAGCCACGCAGGCACCCCTCACTGGGAAATTTTATTTTAATGCTTTTCTTATAAGGTTCAATATTTGTAACAAGTCACTCTTGGAGGAATATGTCCAACCTTTTACATATTCTAACTACAATGCCAATTATATCAGAAATCAATCTATAAATAAGATGAAACATTTCTAAAACTACAGTACTAGCATGTACTAAATTCTCAGTGTGAAAATGTCAAACACCCATAAAGTTAGTTCTCCCTTTTGAACTTTTTTCAATTAGTATCTAATTTTAATTGCTCAATCTATAGGAAATACACACAATCACCATAAGGCCCCGCTAATATACACAGCTAAGCAACAATAGCAAATATCCTTTTATGTATATAAAATGATCATGTATACAAAAACTATCTCAATATACAGAACTTAAAGACCTTATTCTTTAGAAAGACCTCCCCCCTCCCTTATTCCAAAACTTAATTATATGTACCATCACTAAAATTATTATTAATATAAAAGATTTAAGTAGTATGAAATGATATAAATAGGTAAGAAAAATTCCGCTTCTCCAGCAAGGACTCTAGTCTCTCCTTTCTTCTACCCTTCCTTCCTTCTTCACATATGCATATGCATCCACACCCTTGTGCATGCTTTCGTTCTATTCTGTCTGCCTCTCTCGGTCTCTCTCTCTCTCTCTCTCTCTCTCTCTCTCTCGGTCCGTTTTCTCTCTCTCTCTCTCTCTCGGTCTGTTTTCTCTCTCTCTCTCACACTCTCACACACACACACACACACACACACACACAGTATTATTTCAAAAACACAATCCAAGTCCAAATTAGGCACAAGATCAGGCTTAAGTACCAATTGTACACATAAAACACAGAGGATAAGATTCAAAAACACAAGAGCAGATTGAAATCCCAGCTCTACAACTAAAACCAGCTGAATACTCGCTTACTAGCTTGGTGCCTTCAGTCACTACTTAATTAATCTGTATTAGTCTGTTTGCTCATCTACAAAAATGGGAAAACTGCACCCACCTCACGTGGTTGTTGCCTGCATTAAAGTGAGATTTGAAACAACATGCCCACAGCAGGGTGTGGATACTTTGTCAAGTACTTAAGACTTGTTGCTGCTAATCACCCCAACAGCACTATTTGGGGCAAGTCTTACTCAGATCTATTGTTACTCCTGTATACAATGGGAAAAGTACTCTTTCCAATGGTGTATGTGACAACAACCTTTTATAGGACCTTGCAAATTCTTATCATAATTGTTAGACATCAAGGGGAAAAACGTCCTTTTTTCTCAAAAACTTAACATTCCCTTGAGAAACTTTAAAAAATTAAAGTCCATTTTTATTCCTGCAAAGACATGAGAAGTTAACATTCTTCACTTTCTCTCTCATTACTGTAGATATTTTTAAACCAAAACATATATATTGAAAGACCTCATTAAGTTGCTTTTTAAAGAAAGCCACTCAACACTAATAAATTATCATAAATGGATTTGGTTAAAAGGGAATGTCAGATTAGGGTCTACTTTCTCAACCCCAATACATTTTCAAATTCACCAAGTCTGGAGTATATTTTTGTTTTTTGTTTCCAATCCTCTGCACTTAAAGGAACCACACATTAGTAACTGTATGCTACAGCTGTTCCAACATCAGTGGATATGAACATTTCTTACCAAGTTACGCTTTTTCAGTGGAAGAAAGTAATAATAGTGGCAGAAAGAAAACATCAGTGCGTACGAAGTAAGAAGTTCTGTGTAGAAACACAACTGCAGAAAAAGCCAATGATTATCTTCACCAACACAATTGTTAATCCTGAAGAGAAAAATGAAAACGGAAACAGTACTTTAAACTTTAATAAAATGTTAATCTCAGGGCTGGTAAACCTAAAAATAAAAACAAACAACGTCATAGTATACTTAACTTCATGGAGGTATGCTAACGTCCCTTAAACCTAAAAGCAAACCATGCATGTGAAAAGCTACACTATAAGTATGCCTCCTCCCGTTTGGAAAGCACTTTCTACTTGACGAAAAGGAAGTCCTGGAAGATGATCTGCCTTCAATTCACAACCACCCAGTGTGGCAGGAAGAGCAGATGGCAGTCTCCTTGTTTCATCGATATGGGAACAGGAACAAAGGAGTTAAGACACTTGCCAGAGGAAGAGATAGTAGCCAAGAAAACAAGAACCTTCTCTACAGCGCTCTTCCATTCCAGCTGTGGAGAACAATTTGAACGATTTGAAGTAAAACAACTTAAGCCTGCCGTTCTGACATTATTGCAAAGCAGTCATAATTTTTCTTACTTTTAAAATCCATGCTTAGTTGCTGAAAATAAACACATAGCCAAAAGTATTTATAAATTCTTAGAGCTGCACTTCCACTATGACAATAGTGAACCATAACCAGGAAAAATGATTAAAATTATGATCCTAAAATTTTCAAGGCTCAAGACTGTATTGTTCCAAAATTTATTTATTGTGCCCCAATTTTTCAAATATTTTATAATTCCAGCAGAAAACCCTAGTCCCAAACTATCATTTACCTTTACAAATGTTTTCATTTCACTATAGCATTATACTGCCATTGTTTGGGGAACAAAAGATACAATAGGCTCAATTCCTAACAAATTGCTGTTTTTAAGGTGTATCACTGAGATTATTTTTTGAAATCAGATATAGAACTAAATGGAAAACCTGCAGAGGCATTTTCTAAACTTAAGTTCTCATATTTTGTAAATGTGAAAATGCCTGGGTTTTGCTAGGCGCAAGCAGGGCTTTCTCTCGCAAGTGAGAAGTGTGCTCGTGTGGGCACTCAACACACTCTTCCAGAGCCGCTGCTTCCCTGACGTCTGCTGGCCCCACTCTCCTCGTCCTGCCCCAAGGTAAGACATAAATGCTATTATGATGGCATCCTTCTTAACTGGAGAGCTTTAAGAAACACTAAGGTGCTCAGTCTATATGTACGAGTTTTTCAGTAACAAACTATTCAGAAAGAGAAATCAGTGCCAGAAATAGAGAAAATCTCAAGGTGACCTGAGAATTGACCTCCAAATCTAAAGCTCTCAGGCAGCTAAGATGATGCAGTTTCTGAAAATATCAAAAATTCTCTTTGCTTGCAATTTACACTGTCCACTTCCCTTACCCTCTATCTCCACAATGCTCTACTAAGGAATTCAATCAGGAAAGTCCCTCAGTATATTTAAAGCTGTTGGTCTACGCTCCTTTCCTACCTCCAACTCTACTTCCACTCTTCTTCCCACCAGTACTCTGAGAAGCTGACGAAAACCAGAGAAGGAGCCAACAAACAGAGAGCTCACCCCAATTTCAGAATTTAGGTTAAAAGCACATTTTGTCACCAAGTTAGTCTTTATCCCTTAAAAATAAATAAGGAATATTGCTAATCTCTACAGGAGCAATACATCTCCTGGTTGATTATTTTAAAGCTTAAAATAATGCATTCTTTTCATAGGAAGGATCAATATCCAACTGTAATTTGAACGTGTATTATATATTAATCAATCAGAAACAGTACTCTAAAAAAAGGGTATACAATTTTTTCAGTGTGATTACCACTAACCCAATAATACATGTTTTACCTAGCCTTTTCTTTTTAGTCTATTACTATTATAGTTGTAAACAGATCACTGAGGTTTAGAAAATCTCAGAGAATTAGTCTGTTTAAATTCAAAGCATATTTTTTAAATATCAACTATATATTAATTCACTACACTATTCTGTTAATCGTATCAGACAATCATAAGCTTTTTTAGATAGTAACCAAGAGCTTTTATCTAATATCTAAGCTTTTTTAAAAAATGCTTTTATTTTTTCCTAATCTTGGGAAATTACTTTCTACTTAAATAATCAATTTATACTAAAAATCAAATTTTCACTAAGAGCTTGGTAACAAATCTTAAATTATGCTATCAAAATAAATTATCAAAAATATGGGAAACTCTAAATTGATCAGCATTAGCAGACAAAGCTAAACTCCGCCCTTAAGTCAACTGTAGATAAATGCAGTTATAAATTTAAAAAGCCCATCATGCAGTTAACTTTGTATATGCGCATGTATGTGTGTACAAACACAAATATATATGTATTTAGATATATTTACAAAGTGCTACACTATACTAGTTTAAATATTTATACAGAGATCCCATGCTAGGAAAACAGAATTAAATACAATATCTTGCTCACAGATTTTCGTGACAGCTTTGAAATGAGATACAATGCAGAATTCTCACAGCATTTGTTTTCAAAATGCTAGTACTCAACAGAACCATTTTTTAAAATATTACAAGAGAGCCCCCTATTGACCAAAAATGTCAGCAGTTCAGCTGAAGCAGCGAACTACCACTTCTATATATCCAGCACGTATGTAATCTTAATACCTATGTCCAATACATACTATTGAAAAAGGCTTAAAGGGGGTGACATAAGGTGTCAGGGTATCTGAAATACGTTATTCTTTTATTAAACAAGTGGAAGAGAAATACAAACAATGGAATGTATATCATTTATTACAGTTAGAAACTCTAACAGCTACTATTTAAGCACTTTTTATGTGTCAGATACTACACTACCTGCTTTATAAACATTGCCTCATTTAACACGACCATCTCAATTCTATTGATGCTTAGGTGCATCTGATTCTCAGTTTTCTACTCAAATATCTCTATGTTAGAAAAGATAGGATCTCTGTGCAAAAAGGACTTTGGAAGTTGATAGAATCTGATAGAATAATGGTATCCTTCTTAAAGGATTTTTGAAAACTGCATAATTATAATTTTTATTTAAATCTACTAAGTCCTAAGATTTATTTTTCACTGTTTTTTCCTCCCCTAAAAGTAAATCATACATAGCTTACCACGGACAGTGATGATCCATTCTCCTAACACAGTGGCCACAGCGGCTACAGTGATGAGAACGCTTTGGTCGCATCAAATTACATTTGTTACATAATTCCCAGAACTCCCGTTCTAGAGAAGGAAATTAAAATCCATTTAATAAAGGCAAAAGAGTAATGTTGAAATTTAGCAACAACAGTTTAGATTTTTAGGAAGTCCTCCATATATACATATATATATATGTATATGTCCAAGAAATTTTTCTTCTTCTACATCTTCACTGTGAGAGTTTGCCAGAAATACTGCTATTCTACTCTATGAAAGTCTTATTCTGTACATTTCTAATTTTAAACACTATAAGAGTAAGACACTCTTAATAGTCAAACTAAACGACAGAAAATAATGTATTTGGGTTTTGGACATATTGCTATAAGTAAAATCTCAAAACTCAAAAGTATAACCAAGTTTATTATATTTATTTTTTTAATGTTTATTTTTGAGACAGACAGAGAGCAAGTGGGGGAGGGGCAGAGAGAGAGGGAGTCACAGAATCCCAAGCAGGCTCCAGGCTCTGAGCTAGCTGTCAGCACACAGCCTGATGCGGGGCTCAAACCCACGAACCGTGATATCATGAACTGAGCTGAAGTCGGACGCTTAACCTACTGAGCCACTCAGGCGCCCCAGCAAATTATTATATTTAAAAAGAATTTTATGTAAACAAATTTAGTTCTAGAAATTTTATTAAAAAATAAATAGTGCTGAATCCTGGTTTCATAGACTAAGAAATCAAAATCAATCCTATAAACTCATTAGAAAAACAGAGATAGCATTCCCACCTCCCAACCATTTTATATTTTTAATATCAATAAATTCATTTGGGATTGTTTACAGGAGAGGCTTGGAGGTATTAGAATGGTTTCAGAAATAAAGAAGATTACAAGAAAATTATTATTTAGTGGAAATAAGGGAGTTCTTTACAAAATTCTTCCCTACAGTCAAGTAGCAATTTATTTTACCTTGTAATTAAAGAGGACACATTTAAGTTTCGTGCTAAAAAACATTAGGTTTACAGTTATCATAAAGAGAAAAGTCATTTGTTTTCAGTATATATTTTTCTAATCAGATACATAAGAACTATATGAAAGTCATCTACAAAGACAATCACTTTATTATACAGAATGTATCCATTTAAAATTTGCTAAAATGGAACTTTCCTTTTACAGAATTCTTAAACTGTCTGTCACCTATGTTCATTTTCTCCAACACTACGTTTAAACTACACTCTAACCTTGTTAAAAGCATGGGCATAGTAAAATTAACCTAACTCTCAATATTCAGATTCAAAGTATGACTCTAGCACACATATGACTAAATACCTGCTAAAGTATAAAAGTTTAAATTTTAAAAAATTAAAGATTTCAAATATGAGTAAAAGAAGATAATACTAGGTAGTATTCAATTTTCTAAAAAGAGATCCTATTTTAATTCCATTATTTTAGTTCAATAACAATAGTAAAATCAATATATTAGAATTTTATGTAGTAAAGTATTATGAAAAATTCTGCTTTAGAAATCAATAATAATAGTATCAAATTAAGATCTTTTGGGCTGCCTGGGTGGCTCAGTCGGTTAAGCGTCCAACTTTGGTTCAGGTCATGATCTCATCGTTTGTGAGTTTGAGTCCCACATCGAGCTCCGTGCTGAAAGCTCAGAGCCTGGAGCCACTTTGAATTCTGTGTCTCCCTCTCTCTACCCCTCCCGTGCTCATGCTCTGTCTCTGTCTCTGTCTCTCTCTCTCTCAATAATAAATGAACGTTAAAAAAAAATTAAGAAAAAAAATCTTTTCACTTCTTACAGTTCTTATTTTAATGAAAACTTATGTGAGAGGGCAACACTAAAGATTAATTTAGATAAACTAGTATCATTTAACTGTAAGAAACTCATTTCACATGTAGCATAATACAGTATCATAAGCAGATCTCTCTTTTCCCACTTAGCCATTGATGCTCCCAAACACCCTAATGTTAAAACCCTGAATTTACATATTGCAAAGATTATAGTCAGGGAGTAGATCTTCCCTGATGGGCCAATTTTCATTAAAAAAGAGCATAAAAACTTTGTCTTAAACCAGTGCCTTAAAATATAAATATGTCATATTCATTACTGGTCATTTCAGAATCTGATATTTTAGAGTAAAATCTTTCATACTTGAAATGAAATAATACTAAAAGATGGGGTGGGGCGCCTGGGTGGCTCAGTCAGTTAAGCGTCTGACTTCAGCTTAGGTCATGATTTCCCGGTTCACGGTTTCGAGCCCCGCATCGGGTTCTGTGCAGACAGCTCAAAGCCTGGAGCCTGTTTCGGATTCTGTGTCTCTCTCTACCCCTCCCCCACTCATCTCTGTCTCAAAAATAAATAAACTATTAAAAAAATTGAAATACACTAATGGTAAGAGCAAGAAGGAAAACTTTAAACAAAGATTTTTTTTAAATTTTATACCCTCAGAAAAGAAGACAGCATTTGACTATGGTCAGAGGAAAGCCTATAATTCTGCAGTCTAGACCACAGGGTGGCAAGCTACATTCCACAGGCAAATCATAAGCTAAGAATGGTTTTTACAGTGATCACAATTTTTAGTGATTGAAAATAAGAATTTATGAAATGTAAAAATCATGACATTTGAATTCCAGTGTCCACACATAAAGTTTTATTCATACACAGCTAAGCCCATTCATTTACAGATTATCTATCTATGACTACTTTTGGGCTACAGTGGCAGAGCTGAGGGGCTGTGACAGAGATTGTATGGTCTATAAAGCAGAAAATATTTACTATCTGGCCCTTTACAGTAAAGACGAGTTGGCCCATCTATGGTCTGGCTAAATTTAAGAAACTATACAAGTATCTAAAATGATAAATATATTTGAAAAACTCACACTTTCACACACATATACACCTATGTGTGTAGAGCACAAAGAAAAAAACACACTACTGTAAATATCTAAAAAATATTTTTTTTAAAGAATAAAAATCCAGCCACCTTAACCTATCCTACATATCTATAAACCATTTCTTGATCTTCTCCCTTTAAGGTTTATTCATGTTCAAATGTGACCTTAGTCCAAGGGATACAGGAGTGCTGATGCATAGGGGCACATGTACCCCAATGTTCATAGCGGCACTCTCAACAATTGCCAAAACATGGAAAAAGCCTAAGTGTCCATCAACTGACAAATGGATCAAGAAGATGTGGTTTATCTATACAATGGAATACTACATGGCAATGAGAAACAATGAAATCTGGCCATGTGTAGCAACATGGATGGAACTACAGCGTGTTATGCTGAGCTAAAGAAGTCAGGCAGAGAAGGACAAATACCATATGTTTGCACGTATAGGAGGATTAGGAGGAACTTAATGGAGGACCATGGGGGAGAAGGGGAGAAATACTTGGGGAGAGGGAGGGAGGCAAACCATGAGAGACTCTTGAATGCTGAGAACAAACTGAGGGCTAATGGGGGTGGGGGGGGAGGCAAAGGGGTGATGGGCATGGAGGGGGGCACTTGTGGGGATGAGCACGGGGTGTTTTATGGAAACCAACTTGACAATAAACTATTTTTAAAAAATAAATTAAAATAAAATGTTACGCAGCCATTAAAAAAAAATGACCTTAGTGACCGATATATTCTAAGGTCTGAAGACTTTTGCACTAGCCATTCAATATAAAATAAAAGCCTTTGGGGAAAAAATCAGAGAGCAAAATACAATTTGTAAGTGATGAAAATAAAAATTTTAAATTAAAAAAAGCCTATAGGAGAGACTCCAGTTGCTAATTTATGGTACTTATAGATAAATTGAAAACTGACTTTTTTAAAGGAAAATTTTAAAGGAAAGAAAAATGAAAAAGTGACTTTTTTTAAGGAAAGAAAAATCAAAACATAAAACAAATCAAAGAAAATGAGTAAACCTAAGTAACCCTAAGTCAACATGATCACATTGTTTTGCATGGATCCTCTTTTGTGTATATGGGTGTGTGTTTATTATTATTATCTTTTGTTATTTATTTAAGTTCAAGTTAGTTAACATAACCATGTAGTACTGGTTTCAGGAGCAGAATTTAGTGACTCATCACTTACATACAACACCCTCTGCTCATCCCGACAAGTGTCTTCCTTAATGACCATCACCCACTTAGCACCCCCCATCCACCTCCCCTCCAGCAACCCTCAGTTTAAGCAGGGATTCTCTTAATGCTACAAATGCATGAATAAATACAAAGGGGGGGGGAGGGAATTGTTTTAATTATCCTTAGAAGAGAAGAATCACCTTCTATTTAAGACTTCTAAAAGACTTGTATATTAGGCCCTCTCAATTACTGTATTTCAAACCACAAAGTAATATTTTAGGGAGAAAAATATAACTTGAAAATACCAAAATCAATACAACATTTGGCTCTTCACAGAGATTCCCTGACAGAATCACTTGCCAAAGAAGAAAATAAATGACAGGAAGTCTCTTGCAGATCTCCTTCAAAAAGAGATAGAACTGGGAGCAAAGCAAAACTAGAAGTGAATTCATACCCCTGAGCGTTAATAGCATATGCATCCCTATAGCTCGGGGTAAAATTTCAAGGGACATTATCACACAAACTTTAAATGTGCAACATTTTTTAAAACTTGGGAGGATTTTGCACTGTAACAGGGCAGCTCTACTCAAAGCGGCTCTAATAATGACAAAAACACTAAAGTCAAACATGTAAGGGAAGAGCTTGATGATGAAAATGTTCTAAAATTGATTGTGGTGGGGCACCTGGTCGGCTCAGTCAGAAGAGCATGCAACTGTTGATGTCTGGGTTAGGAGTTCAAGCCCCACACTAGGCACAGAGCTTACTTACTTACATACATACATTCATAAAACTGGTTTAGTAAAGGTTGCATAATTCTATGCACATATTAAAATCACTAAATTGTACACTTTAAATGGGTGAATCAAATGGCATATCAATCATAATAAAGCTGTTTTTTAAAGAGACTGAATAAAAAAATTTCATAAAACCTGAATGTAATATAAAATAATATTTGTATATTTCAAACATGCATGTGATTAATTTCAGTAACAGAAATTGACACTTAATGATTTTATTTGACTATTTCATTTACACACCCAAAAGTTTATAAGAATCAAATTCTGGGGAATCTTTGCAGAGACAATGCAACATTCTCTTATATTCAAACTGCCTCGTATATTTGGAGGGTTACACTAATACTAAACTTATTCTACTTAAAAAAAAAAAAAAAAAAACAGAGAGGGATGTAAAATATTTCAGGGAAATTCAATTAAAACATGGTTAAAATTATAAAAGTGCTGGGGTTTACGTTCCCTCTCCTAAAGAACCCAATTATATAAAACTGCTCAACCTTAAAACAAGGATGAGTAAATGTCACTTTTTACGGCCCCAACTCTATAGTCATGCTATATTATTTTTTCACTATTAAAATCCTGTATTTTTTTACTAAGTTAAAACCATATTCGCAAAAGAATCAGGGAATCACCACAAAGCACATGATGACTTCAATTTCTCCCAGAATCAAAACCAAGGTGAGAAAAGGGCTAAAATTATTCCTCTCTGTACAGATGCATGGTAAACAAGATGATGGAGACACGTATTGAGATGTCACGGCAGCTCTTTAACAACCTGCTGTGTGACAGTCCACACTCTTGATTTTTCGGTCTACCTACCTTGTAAAATTACCACGAGGATCAAATGACGTGCGACAGTAAAAGACTTTGGAAACATTAAAATATGATAAATGAGTGTCTTTTTTTCAACCGGGCAAAAGATAAGTCTTCGGAACTCAGTGAAGAAAAACAGGCCAAACGTCAGCTGTGATCAGATAGAATGCAGACAACCAAATAGCAGCCAGAGGCTATGGAGTCTTCCGTCACCAGGGCCCTAAGCTAAAGGTAACATGATGGGTCCACATAATTTGTTTAGCATTCGTTTAAAACCAATATTTTTTACATTTTTAGTTATCAATTTTTTTCAAATTTTCTCTTAAAATTTTTCAAAATTTCTCTTAAAAACTGAGATTCTCTGTTTTCTCTTCAAAATTCTAAGATCTAGGAATACAGGGCCTATGTGACAATTTCAGTGTAGATGAGTAGCGGCTGCTGCCTTTGGATAGGAGATTTTCAAGTTCCTTTGTGGCCCCTTTCTCTGATTTGCAGTATCTGATACATGTAGGCATCTGAGTGACCACTGCAAACTAAAGATTTTGTAAGAAATGGGTCAGGAGTTAGGAAAAGCCTGCTTCTCTAGTTTTCTGGAAATACGGGGTTTTAGAGTTGAAACAGGCAAAACATTTACCAAGATGTTAGAGAGCCTTTGGTTTAGACTAGTTGAGACATGACACTCTGTACAAACTGCAGACTGCCACCCTCCCCGCCCAAACACACGTGCACGTGTGCGCCCACACACACACCTAGCTGACGGTGACATGTCTTCTGTAAGTTAAAGAAATGAAATATTCGACACAATCCTCAGAAACTTCCACAGCCATGCAGATATCAGTGTCATATCATTCCCATTTCATCATTAGACTTGCAAAGCCAAGTGTGTCCCTAAATGACAGACCTCAAAAAACAAGAGTCAGGAGCTTAAGGAAGACTCTTTAAGTGACATGCCAGTAATCTAATTTCAGAAGGACTTAACAGGTTCCCCAATTTTTTTTTTTTTGACACACTGCAATCACCTGGGATCTTTAAAAAATACAGATACCTGATTCCCATCTCCAGACATTCTGATTAAATCAATATGGGATGTGATCAGGACACTGAAATTTTTTAAATCTCCCCCATGGATTCAAATGTGCAACAAGTCTGGAAAGCACTGAAGTACTATAAGAAGTACTGTGACTCTCAAATGTAGCACAAAGTCATATACATCTCTCATTAGAAGAAAGTACAGAGAGCTCTCAAAGCTTATATGACAAATGATCAAGAAGTGAAACTGAGGAAAGAGGGTAAATGAGGGTTACCATCCCTAGCTCGCAATAAAACAAGCAACAAATTTCATTTTTGTGATTTGAATGGTTATTGTACAATAAGCTAATCCTAAATTACCTTCAATGGACACTAGAATAAAAGATCTCAAATTTTTCACTGAATTGTTAGAACTTGGAAAAATACAGGCAATAGTATCATTAAACTACAAATACTGACTCTAAGCAATATTCTCTTTATAATATCATACACAAAGTGAGGGACACCATCAAAAAGATTCCTTTATGAAATTAAGATATATCAGATAATTATATATCATTCAACAAGTACTTACCCAGCACCTACTGAATGACAGAGATGGGCACTGAGGATATAGCATCAAACAGATGAAGAAAACAAAACAGAAAATCTACACCCTCACAGAGGCTCTACAGATGCAGTGTGGGAGGAGACAAAAACAAGCGAACAAGTAAACTACACAAAGAGACAGGGAGTGAGGGGCACAGGAGTCAGCTGGGATTTGCAATTATAAAGACAGAAGTCTAGAAAGAAAACATTTGAGAAAAGACTGGAAGAACGTTGTAGATGACATATGTAACTGGCACACACTAAAGGCTGTAAAATGTATTCACAAAGATAAAATAATGCAGGCATAGTCGAACTGATAATTCTGAAAAGTGCCGTACCTCCATGTGGAATCTTAGGGTTCTCTGGGAGTCTTCCCGGGTCAGTTATTGAGGCCCTCACTAAAGCAACCAGACAAAATATGGCAATGCCATAGAATACTTGGAAACAAATAAGAAAGTTAAGTAAATAAATGAGTCATTTATCCTTCAAAACATTTTATCAAGAAGCATATTTAACGTTTAAATGTATATTTTCATGAATGCCATCAGGATAAATGATTTTCAAAAAATAAATGGAAAAATTAAATGATCAATTTCATTCACCAAATAATACTGCCAAGAGGATTTTCTCAAACATATCACCTTTAAATGTTGTTTTGCATAATAACTGATAAACTTAATATGGATCAGATTTTTTTTTTTTTTTTACAAATTCCTTGTCAATAATGGCATAAATGAAGGGGTTCACTTTTAATTACTACGTGTACTATATGTGACAGAATCAAAGCAGCATTTTAAAACCTATCCTACAATGAAACTCCTTCATTGCCTCTAACTGGCTAACTTCAAAATTACTTGGAGTTAGTGACATTCAATTGTTTCTTTCAACAAATCTTAAAATATTTACATAATGTGAAAATAAAGAACCTAGAAATTTTGAGTTTTTAAAAGAATAACTAGAAAAACAGTGGTAAGGAAAAACAGATCCACCCATTATAATTCTACCTTTTAAATGAATAAAAAATAGACATGTGGTAAGGCAGTGGGGGGCTGTGAGAAGGTACCATGCCTGTAATAGGAAACTTGGTCTGCGCACTAACTCCAAGACCAACTGCATGGTACTGATCAGTTTTATCACTTGTACAACAGAGATCGTATTTCCCACAGCACTTGTAAGGTCAAAATGACATAATGTACCAGGTAACTGTGAATGCCATCCATATACATGTAAACTCTATCATTTCAATCTTATCCTTTTAATCCTAAGCAAGCCAGCACCAAATGAACTACAGCAGAAAATAATTATCCAGAAATGCAAAGTGTTATCATAATCAACATCATAATTTTTCCATCATGAAATTCTCATTTCCCAGTAATATATACCATCATCATTCTGAAAACTCCTCCCACACTTGAAATAAGTACGTAATAGAAACATTAAAAACACACACACACACAAAATAGCACTACTGCACCAGTTTCATTTTAAACAAAATGACCTTAATATATTTTGCAGAGTTAGATAAGGAGATAACCACATTTATGTAACCCTACAAAATGTATAAAAGCCAGTCTTCTTAAAACTTCTACAATTTATTTAGTAAATAACTTAACATGAATAACACTAATACTCAAAGAAAGGTTATAATAGCGGTACTATATTCCAAAAACATTCACAGTGAGAAAATCCTTTAATTATATAAAGAAAAAAAGATCAGAAACTTACTTATTATTAATATGCCTGGAATGTGTCCTTCTTCATAGTGAGGAAAGAGGACAATCTTGGGAATTAAGACAATATTGTATAACCAGACAAAGACAATCAAACCCATGCAGCACCAACCATGTGGGTCAACAACAAAGTGAATCCGGAGGCCCATTTTGCTGTCCTCCAAGTGCCTGCCGACCCACAAGGGAGACGACCCTACAGAGGGGGAAGACAGAACAAAGTTACTTACACAGAAAAAACTATTTGACTAAAACAAAACTCCATTCCTGGCAACTATAAAATGACACTGAGTTTTCTTTGTATATTTTTGACAAAAGGAAACACATTGGGAAACAGAGAGGTTTCAGGACATTCAAGTTTCATCATAAGCTTCACATAATTTAATTCTAGTTTCGACTCTGAATTGCTATCAGAGTATAAACTGGCAATACCTTCTGAAGGTTAAGCACGAGTCTGTCCTGAACCCAGCAATTCCTTATGTAAGCCCGGGAGGGAATGAGACCAAGTGTCAAAAGATATGTGCAAAATGTTTTAGAACTTTTAGTCATAAGACTAACAGATGCTCACACAAGTCAAAACAGTGAGGTGGGAGGGTGTTTACTAACCAGAAAGGACAGAAGGGAAACTCTGAGGGGCTAGTAATGTTCCATATCTTGACCTAGGCGGTGCTTCAAGGGTACACACATATGTAAAAATTAACCGAGCTGTATACTTAAGATTTGTGCAATTTAAATTTTAAGCCACAATACAATGCTTAAAAAATCATTTTGAAAAATTCTTATAAAAAGAGGAAAGTACTTACAAATTGCCAAAAATATTTAAAATCATGGAACGAAGCCCAACTAATCTTATTACTATCAATTCAAGAAGACTCCTGTTTAAGATCTTGGCAAGGATGTGGAGAAACGGGAACCCTCTTGCACCGTTGGGTGAGAATGCAAACTGGTGCAGACATTCTGGGAAACAATACGGAGGTTCCTCAAACGGTTAAAAATATAACTACTAGATGATTCAGCAATTACACGATTAGGTATTTACCCAAAGGATACAAAAAGACTAATTCAGAGGGGGGTGCATGTAGCCCAAAGTTCACAGCAGCGTTATCAACGATAGCCAAACGATGGAGAGAGCCCAAACATCCAGTGACTGAAGAACGGATAAAGAAGATGTGGTTTGCATACATATACAATGGACTATTACTCAGCAATAAAAAAAAAATGAAACCCTGCCATTTGCTACGAAGTGAATGGAGTTAGAGTGTATTATGCTAAGCGAAATAAGTTAGTCAGTGAAAGACAAATACCATATGATTCCACTCATATGTGGAATTTAAGAAAACAGATTAACATGTCGGGGGGTGGGGGAGGAGAGAGAGAGGGCAACAAACCTGAAGAGACTCTCAAAGATAGAGAACTCGATGGTTGATGAGGGAAATGGTGGGGGATGCGCATTAAGGGGCACTTGTTGGGAGGAGCACTGGGTGTTATATGTAAATGATGAATCACTGAATTCTACTCTTTTTTTTTTAATTTTTTTATTTATTTCTAGGAGAGAGAGAGAGCGTGAACAAGAGAGGGTCAGAGAGAGAGGGAGATACAGACTCTGAAATTGACTCCAGGCTCCGAGCTGGCAGTCAGCACAGAGCCCGATGCGGGGCTCGAACCCACGAACCGCGAGATCATGACCTAAGTGAAAGTCGGACGCTTAACCGACTAAGCCACCCAGGCGCCCCTGAATTCTACTCTTGAAACCATACTTTTGCACTGTATATTCACTAACTAAAATTTAAATAAAAATTTGAAAAGAAAAAAAAAGGAAACTCCTATTTAAATGGGGCTTGTATCATATGAGTGTTAAAAATATTTATGGTACCAAAAAATGTGACCTAAAATATATCCCTACCTTAGTAGGTATAATTTATAAGCTTAAACAATTACTATAGAAGGTCAAGGGGGCACCTTTTACAGAAAATACAATGGAATAACACTATAATAAACCAGGATAATGTTTCTCAAACCTGTTAACAAACCAGAATCAACTGAGAAGCTCTTTAAAATAGTCATTCAAAGGCCTCATTCTAGATCCACTGAATCCTAATTCCTTATGGAGTTAAGCTCAAAAACCAATAAAATGTTTTAAAATGCTCCCCAGGTGTCTTGATAGAGCTGACAGGTATCTAGGAGCAGCTGATCCAAAAGCTTCCGTAAGACTTCAACGTTAGGGCAATGAGCTGAATTCAGTTGAACAAATTTATTTACAGAGCCTCCACTATACACAAGTTATAATAGATACAATGATGAATGAGACATTGTCTTTGCTTAAAGAAACTAATAGTCTAGTTGGGGTAAGAATCATAAGATTTAAAAGAACATGCTGAGTTCCAGAGATGTGGACAAGATGTCACCGGAGGCATGGAGGGTGGACACTAGGTAAATTAGGGCAAGACTTCCTATAGGAGGTGAAATATGAGTTCAGTTTTAAAAGACGAGTAAATGTTATCCAGGGGCACCTGGGTGGCTCAGATGGTTGAGCATTAGACTCTTGATTTTGGCTCAGGTCCCAATCCCAGGGTCGTGGGATTGAGCCCCACATTAAGTGTGGAACCTGCTTGGGATTCTCTCTCTCTCCTCTGCCCCCCGCTTCTGTACTTGCACTCTCTCTCTAAATAAAAAATTAAGGGGCACCCGGGTGACTCTGTTGGTTGAGCATCTGACTCTGGCTCAGGACATGATCTCACAGTTTGTGAGTTCAAGCCCCACGCTGGGCTCACTGCTGTCAGCCTGTCAGCAGAGAGCTCACTTTGGATCCTCTGTCCCCTTCTCTCTCTGTCCGTACCCAATTACACTCTTTCAAAAAATTAATTCATTAATTAAATTTAAAAAACTTTTTAAAAAGTTATCCAAGCAAAGAAAGGTGACAATACTACAAACAGAAGGAAGAGCAGGAGGTATATAAAATTGTATGCAGTATTACCAATCACCATCATAAATCATACAGCTTGCAGTGGAGTGAGGGATGAGAAAGAAGGGGCTACATCATGGCATAAAGAGGCCATGTTAGAAAGCTAAGATTTCATTCTTAGGCAATGGAAAGCTACTGAAGCAAGGGAGGTAGCATAATGAGTTTTATACTTTAAAAAAATTACTGAAGCTCTAGTGGTCGAGGATAAAATTAAAGATCAATTAGGCCAAGAAAAGACAAAAGCCAAAATCAGGTTTGGAGAAGAGATCAATTGAGAAAATAGTTGCAATCATACCAGTACGGTTTTACTAACTGATTGGATATCAGGGGGTTAAAGAGTCCAAAATGACTCCCAGATTTTCATCCCTTACTAGCATCAGATGAAGAGACTCAGGATACCCACCCCTTAGAGGTCTTGCCATTGTGCTTTAAAGCTACAAAGCTACCAGAACAAAGGAAAAAAGATTTAGGATTAGCTCATTTTAAAGTAATATCCTGATGCTATCAACCTTAGAACATGCAAATATTGGAGCCACAGGCAAAAAGGCAAGAAATCAAATGCAACATGACCCAACTGTTTAAATCAGATCTAGTGGAAATTAGTCTTTATGTATGAATTCTAAAATAGGAAAAAGCGTCTACGCCTTAAAAAAGTAAAAGTTGAACTCCATTACCTTTTAATTAGAAAATTAAAAGACTATCAGGATCATTAAAGTGAGGAAAGTCACAGAATATGCTATTTCATTCACTGGGTATCATCGTTTTAAAAACTGAAGGAGCTGAAATACAAATGATATGCTCTCTACGTAGTTAAAATGAGAAACATTAAAAAGAATGTTTATTTTTATAGTCTTGCCAACCATCAAGTGCTAAAAGAAATGACAGAAGGCTCTGTTTCTCAACATGTTCAATATTATTAACTTCATGTACTTTCTTTCTTGCAATGTTTCAGTTCCATTCAGGACTGAAAAACAGACCATGAATTCCAATAATTACAGTGAACAGAATACTTTTATTACTTACTTCTAAATTTATTAATATTAGAAACAGAAAAACATACAAGCCAGCAAAACAAGTAGCAGAAGTGTCAAATACTCATTCATTTTTTTGAATTCTTAAATTTTTCTTGTAAGAGATTTCTCACAACTGGAAATACTAGATACTGGCAAGTATAGCTAAATGTGTCTGTTCTTCCCGTATGTAAAATATATAGACAGCAAGCTCTAAAAGAACACACATCCCCAAGGAAAAGTAAGCAAAGAATAGAGAAATAGAACAATGAATGAATAAGATGCTGATTTTTTTTTTAAATACCTGATAAGTGAAAATTAGTGCCACATAAGCCTAGATTGTCCTGAAGCAAACAGTAGTCTTCCAAGAGCTCCAAATCAGATTACCACCAGAGACATGTAACTCGTAGAGTTGTAGGGTCACTGCACTCGGTTAATATCTACCAGGCGTGGTTTCGGGCTGAACAGAAACTATTACACACCCTGACCGACAACCGAACTGAACACACTGCTGTTACTCGGTCTCAGGGGTGGCACTTCTAAGATACTTTCATTAGCCAGAGATCCTAACGTGCTAATTTGTATATTAGATGGTGAGCTCATGACTCAAACTTTGATGTAACCAGTGGACCTACTGGTACTTCAACATTTTTTAAGATTGCTATCTGGTAACTCTACTTGAGTGTGGTGACTAACTTCATTAATGATGTAAATTACTACAGCACAAACTTTTTTTAAAAGATGTTATAATTCAGCTCTAATAAACTAGACCACATAAATATTTACAACTTTCAAACTATTCTAGTTGGAAACCACCTTTCTTTTCTTGCCTTTTTAGAAAAGCAACTACATTTTACCATGTATTTTCCTCGGGAAGAATACTCGAGTCACCAAGAAAGGGATTTGGAAAACTATATGATAGAAAATGATAACATCAAGATGCAGATTTTAGAAAATGATAAAAATTGGCCAAAATAATTTACAAGAAATCTAGCCAAATGTTACCTCTAAACTTCCAGGTGTACAGGACTCTCGACCTCAGCCAGTGGTCTTATGATGGCTCATGAGCATGAAAAAAATATTCCCTCTCTACTTCCTCCTATCTGCAATGTCCCTATCATTTTACTTACTCTCTTTAAATTCAACTCATACTTCAAGGTCAATTTGAATCTCACTCTCCCTATGAAATTTTTCCTGTCACCTCAGTTCGCAGCGATTTTTTTCCTTCTAAATTCCAAATAAAAAGCAGAACTAGTAGACGAAAATAGCAAGTAGTTTTATAATCTTAGAATGAGGAGGACCTTCACAAAAAGGCCCAGAGGCGAAGTATAAGCACATAAAGATTAAAATCTGTGAAGTCTAAAACAAACCAAAAAACAAAGTTAAAAGATAAAGCATCTCTTTTTTAAAAAACATCACTACAGGTTGCCTGTGTGGCTCAGTTGGTTAAGCATCCGACTCTTGGTTTTGGCTCAGGAACATGATAATACAGTTCCTGAGTTCGGGCTCTGTGCTGATAGTAAGGAGCCTGCTTGGGATTCTCTCTTCCTCCATCTCTCTCTGCCTCTCCCCTGCTTGAGCATTCTCTCTCTCTCTCTCTCTCTCTCAAAATAAACAAACAAACATTAAATAAACAAAAAAAAAAAAACACTACATCATATGACTGGTGAGAGGCATACGAATACAAGGAGAAGCAATTCACAAAGGAAAAAAATTCAATGGCTAATCATTACTGATTAGGAAAATGTGGAATAACTAAGCCTATTTTTCGTCCTTTGTATTCAAAACCTTTTAGAAAGACAGATGATTATCCAACCTGGAGAGAACATACAGAAAAGGACCCTCTCACCCATTACTGGTAGGCATGTAAACTGATACGATCATCTTTAGAAGACAATTTAGCAGTATCTATTAAAACGTCAAATTCTTTGACCCCAGAGTTTATTTCTAACTACCAAGGTACTCATTAGAGTGTAGAGGTAAATACACATTCAAGGTGTTCTACATAGCGCTTTTTGTAATCATAAAAATATGGCACAACTTCAGTGTTCAAGAAGAGGGAGGGGAATGATCAAACAAACTATAAGACCTCCAAGGTATAGACTATTTCTAAGTTACTGCAATTTTAATATCTTTAATGTTTATTTTTGAGAGCACGAGCAAGGGAGGGCCAGAGAGAAGGGGCACAGAGGATCTGAAGCGGGCTCCTGGCTGACAACAGAGAGCCTGATGTGGGGCTCGAACTGCTGAACCATTAGATGGTGACCTGAGCCGAAAAGGAGGTAGATCTAGATCTGCACAAGGCTGCCCACACAAAGTATTGAATGAAAGATTGCAAGTTATATGAGAAAAAGCTTAACAGTGGTTTCCTGGGGGAGAGGAGGATAATAATAGACTAGGAAAGGTGTAAAGGGAACTTTCTGGTTCCCTCATAAAGATTTCTATCTTGATAGGAGTTTGAAACACACAGGTTATAACTTTATCAAAGTTAGCAAATGTACACGTAAGATTGGTGCATTTTGTGGTATGTAAATATACCTTTTAAAAAAAAAAACCCTATAAACCAATATTGAACTCTAGTTAATGATATGTAGGCTGAAGTATCAGGTAGGGAGTGGCAGGAGGAAATGTACTGATACCTGCAATTTACTATGAAGCGGATCCAAAAAACTAAAGTGGATTGTCAGATGGACCAAGAGATGGATGAGCATGTGATAATGCTTAATAAAATATTAGCTGTATTATCTAGGTGATGAATATTCAGATGTTGATTTCAACTCTTCTGTTTAAAATTTTTCAAAATTAAATGTTGCAGGGGAAAGCAAATTACAGAAAAGTTTGTAGTGCAGAAGCATCAGCTGTAAAACCATCAGATTTATAATTCAGAAAGAAGTCTTTGAAATTCATACTACGTACAGATTACTTTTCTCTATGAAAAAGAAATTTCTTAAGAAAATGTCTAATTAAAATTTAATACGAAAAATTTTAAATAAACATGTAGCTATAGTTATCTTTTTTAGAAATGAACAATTATTTAATGTATCTAAACATAAGACTTTAAGGATACTATGACACATAATATAGAAACATATTTCCACATAAAATTAAATGTAGACTTACCAATTGGAAATTCACCAAGATGTGTTGTAATTTTTCTGGTACTTGCATTTAGAGGTTTTATCTTGATTCATTCTTTTTTTAATTACATCCCAACAAATGGATCTCTCCTCAGTAACAGTTCTCCATGAGGATCTATTAATGGTTTAACAAATAATGATCTCTTACAAAGATAAAAATTATAAGCTGCTAAATATTCTGACTGTGAAAATGTCCATTACAAAGGTTTTAAATTCAGAAATAAGAGGACTCAATTTCACCTAGCTTTGTTTTCGTATCCTACCCCATCTCTCCCAAAATCTGCACTTGATTTTCATCATACATGAAAGTTCCCTCTTTTGAAACCACCCAGTTCCCATAAAATCAAATTAGTATTGTGTATCCAACATTTGGGCTTCATCAAACTCTTGACCACAAATTACAAATGACAACAGATTCTGAGATCACTGATGAGACAAGATACAGTGTAATGTCTATCAAGATGTGAGGCTAGAATTATCCAATCACAACTGATAAACTGAAAGTAGTTTAAAAATAGAAACAAGCTAGTTTAAAATGTTTTAAGGAAAAAAAGCTATCTTCCTATAATGAACCATTTAGAGAATCAACCATAAAAGTTAGCTTCTATAGTTCAAGCTTAAACAATATTACTGTAGAGTTCTAGATAACACACATATACCAATTCAGCATTTCACTAATTCAATGAACATCTACTGACTATATACCATGCCTCTGCACCGGATACAGACAACAAAAGAGATGGACCCCATCCTCAGTGGAGACAGACACAGACAAGATCAATGCCATGTAAGACAACGTAAGATGGGGGCAAGAGGGCAAGAATGCATCTCGTTCATAGAAGATGGGTAATGGCTCATAGAACTGTTTTCAGTTGTGTGAATAGTTATGTGCATACAAGGTTGCAGCATAAAATGTACTTCTCCTGGTAAGCTGCTGGCAGGAAAAGGGTTCTGGATGCAGTAAAACCTAAGAGGTAGCTCATCAAAGAATGGAGGCTCTTGTAAACAAGGGAGTAAAAGAAGCAAGAGTACAGAAGCAGGCAGAGAAAACCTAAGTAAATTGAAATGACTGGTCACTGCACATGGAAAAATGGGATAAAATATGCAGCCCACTCAAGTGATTTCATGAACCACAAGAAAAGAGTGATCTCAGAGTGAAAAATACTGTTAAACCATGCTGAGGAGTCTGGACTTTGCACTTAGCCTAGTGGAAAATAACTATAGGATTTTAGGGGAAACCATGATGAAGTCTGCCTCCTGGGAAGAAGAGCAATGCTATGAAGAATGGACTTGGTTGGATAGATAGAGCTCCAAAACTGACTATATAAAATAAGCTAGGCTTACTGGTTACCCAAGTAAGAAATGAGGGCACATGATAAGGCCACAGCAACAGTGACTTATAAGAGGGGTGCAGAGGGGAGGGGTGAAGAAGGAACACTTAAGAGGCACGTGGAAAAGCGCAGATTAAGAATGTAATGAGTAAACCTGGGGCACCTGGGTGGCTCAGTTGGTTAAACAGCCAACTCTTGATCTCAGCTCCGGTCCTGATTGCATGATTCGTGAGATCGAGCCTCATGTCAGGCTCTGTGCTGACAGAGCAGAGACTGCTTGGGATCCTCTCTCTTCCTCCTTCTCTCTCTCCACCCCTCCTGTGCTCACATGTTTCTCTCTCTCTCTCTCTCTCTCAAAATAAATAAATAAACTTTAAAAAAAGAATTTAATAGGTAAAGCTGATAGGACTTGGTGATCAATTGGAATCAAAGGGCAGACTGTAGGATGGCTCTCAAGTTCTTGGCTTAGGGACTATGTAAAGGGTGGTACCATTCTCCAAGACAGGAAATAAAGAACAAGTTACAAGTTTGTTAAGCATACTGCTTGCCAAAGCAAAAGGAAACTATTACAGACTGACAATGTGAAAAATACACCAAAATCATTATCATTACATTTCCATTCTCTTTATAGATTTCTTAACTGTATGTTCTTCCCCACATCAGTCAGTCTATGGTCCATGATTGTTAGATTGTCAAATGTTACTTGTTTCTCCTCTAACTTTTTAAACTAATCTAAGAATGGTTTTCCTGCCTGCACCTTTGATTTTCGGAGGCAAAATATGGAATGGCAAAGTAGAGGAGCTGCTACTCTAACAGCAAAGGAATGAATTCATCATCTTCTAGGAAAAAAATCTCTAACAGAATTAAATGTGGTACAGCAAAATGTGTGAAACATGGCCTAAGTCAATAATGCTGCTGTGGCCGTGATTCTAGAGTGGCTTCCTAATGTTTCAGTAGAACACTGCTTCCTGTCAGTATTATTAGGTAACAGCACAAGTCAACCATCTATGAGTCAAACCCCAGTCACTCCCTGGCTTCGACTCTAGGAAACGCCTACATTTACAGTTATTAGAGCTACCCTGCAGCCAGAGAGAGCATCCAAATGGGATACACATTTTCTCTAATTCACCAGCATCATCAGCATCATGGAATCAAATCTCACCTAAGTGGTATAGAAACAATGCCAGGCTTAAAACTTCAAGTAATTTTGGGATAATAAAGACTATCCCAAAGCTTCGTTAACTATAAAGGGGAATTAAATTTAACATTACTATTTCTAAAAGAATACAATCAACAATTCACAGAGAAAAAAAAAAAGTTCCCATATAAAATTTAAACTTATAATTGCTTAAGAAAATTTTTTAAATGTTTATTTATTTTTGAGAGGAAGTGAGACAGAGTGAGAGCAGGGGAGGACAGAAAGAGAGGGAGACACAGAATCTGAAGCAGGACCCAGGCTCTAAGCCGTCAGCACTGAGACCAACGCAGGCCTCGAACCCACAAACGGTGAGATCATGACCTGAGCCGAAGCTGGTTACTCAACCGATAAGCCACCCAGGTGCCCCTAAACCTATAACTGCTTCTTAAAGTTACAACTATATACTTTTAAACATATTCATACAGACATTTAACTTCTGATTTTATCTACTCTGAAAATTGGCCAAGTTAAAATAATTCCACCCAAAATATCAGGCTATAGCTATCTCTAACAATTAGCCAAAGATGTTAATTCGATTTTTTAAATACCACATAGGTACTCAGTTTATTTCAACAGAGTAGGAAATTAACCCTGTGGGGATATGAAAAAGAGTCACATTCCAATTCTGACATAGCTTATTAGCTCTCCAGGTGCAGTTTCTTCTCAAGCTTCAGTTTAGCCATCTGTAAAATGGCGATAAAAATAACTCACGGGATCATCAATGTGAGTAAATGAGAAACTGCCTAACAAATGATAAGCAACTCTCAAAATAGTAACTTTAAAAGGGAGTGGGGATAGAAGAAGAAGGAGAGAGACAAAGAGAAGTTTTACTTCTAGTTTTGTAAACTCCAGATGTTTCTAGGTCCCCATCTTTAAGAAAATCAAGCCATGACACAATGCAAACATGCCCCAGCTCTACTTCTTCTAAAGCTAACATCTAAGAACACTTGTCAAAGATGAGGAACCTCGAGTGGCCCAGTCGCTTGGCTGATATCATACTGTAAGCCCAGAGAGAAGTTTTCTTTCCACATGTTGGCATGAGGTCTCTTCAAGCAGAACACCAAAAATAGAGATCTGACCTCAGAGAGACTGAACTAAAACCTGTAAACCCAATCTCTTTGGGCTGGTAAGTTAAGGACTGAAACATGGGAGCAAATCAGGACCCAGTTTCAGAAACTAATGAAGAAGGCACAATGAAAGTAGGGAGCTTTGACTCAATTCTGAGGTCTCCAAGAAGACTCTGAAAATGTGGTGGGCAAAGGGTCAAAGCAGACCATACTTGCACCATCAATGGTTTCAAGAACCCACTCCTAGAACAAGTTTTTAAATCACTCCATTCTAGGCAAAATCGAACATAAGCCCTTACTCCTCTGTGTACCTGCTTCATGAGTGAGAAATAGAGGTAAATTAATATCTCTAGTAAAAATACTGCACTACAGTGACACACTTCATCAAAATCTCCTAACAGCACAAATAGCTTGGAAGGCATGGGATGATAGGAATTAAAGAGACCAAATATTGCTTCAGTCAGTACAAAAGGTCTGCATGGGAATCTTCATGTCAGAAGGCAGGGATGTGGGAAAGGGTGAGGGAAGACAAGAAATGGAGTTGAAGGCAGAGTAGGGATGGAAGACAACAGATAAGCTTTGCTTCAAATATGGCACAAGGAAAACCTTCGGATGCAGTAAAAGTCAGAAAGGAAGCTAGCATGTTCTTCCAAGGGGGAAGGGTAACTAGCTACTTACCCCTAGCACTCACTGCACCAAGAGGGACTGGGGTGAAAAAAAAACCCAAAAACACTAAATCAGATGTCCTTCACACCAAGCTTTACCAAAGCAGGCACAGTTTAAGAATAACACTAAAAGACGGGGTGGGGCACCTGGGTGGCTCAGTCAGTTAAGCATCCAACTTGGGCTCAGGTCATGATCTCACAGTTTGTGAGTTTAAGCCCCACATCTGGCTGTGCACTGCTGATGCGGAGCCTGCTTGGGATCCTCGCTCTCTCCTCTCTCAATGCCCCTCCCCCACTCACACTTACTCTTTCTCTAAATTAAAAAAAAAAAATTAGAGGCGCCTGGGTGGCTCAGTCGATTAAGCACCGGACTTCAGCTCAGGTCATGATCTCACAGTTAATGGGTTCGAGCCCCACATCAGGCTCTGTGCTGACAGCTAGCTCTGAGCCTGGAGCCTGTCTTCAGATTCTGTGACTCCCTCTCTCTCTGACCCTCTCTTGCTCAGCCTGTCTCTCTCTCTCTCTCTCAAAAATAAATAAAACAATAAAAAAAACACTAAAAGAGAAAAAAAAATTTTTAAAAACAACACTAAAAGAGAGAAGAAAAAAATCACTCCTAACTTGCTTGAAGCTGAAAATCCTGCACTAGGTTAAGGTTTCATTCCATAATTATGGACAAAAGCCTTAAATTCAGAAGCCTGGTTGAGATCACACTGAGCAAGTTAAGTTAAAACTAAAATAAAATTAATCAGTGAGTGGTAAAATACTAATTTTTATCTAACCTGCCCTCTTGTGAAAGCGGCAACAAGTAGATGGATGGAGAGAATAGTTATCTGCTCAGGCTCTTACATGGGTGAGGTTAATCTACCGGAGAGGAAAACCGCAGGCTAAGAGGAGGCCTAAAAGGCCAATGACAAACTTTGAAAAAGTCCCACCGTTTTCCTAGATAATAAACTACCATCACACTACGTATTTGAGGGGAGGTAACTCCCAGAGAGAGCAGTACCACTTTACATCTGTGAATAACTAGGTTTATTCAATTTACCAAAGATAATGGACCAAAAAACTCACAATGCTGACAACAAGAAAAACTGGGGTTTTCCACCTCTTCCTGTCTTTTATCTGTATTTTTCACTGATTCAAAATAGTTCAAATATGTTCAATTTTAATTTTTTTAATGTTTGTATTTATTTCTGAGAGAGAGAGAGAGAGAGACAGCTTGAGCAGGGGAGGGTCAGAGAGACAGGGAGACAGTCATCAAGTGAAGAATCGGAAGCAGGCTCCAGGCTCTGAGCTAGCTGTCAGCACAGAGCCCGATGCGGGGCTCGAACCCACGAACCTGTGAGATCATGACCTGAGCCGAAGTCAGACGTTCAACCGACTGCGCCACCCAGGTGTCCCTAAATACGTTCAACTTTAATAAGAAGTATAAATTCACTGATCATTCTACTAGATATTAAAATGCCACTTATATTTAGTGCACTCGAAAAATTGAATCTGAGCTCTAATGTTTTACTAAAGCAATATAAAATTCCTTCATGCCTTAATATAAAGACTGAACTTGGAGAACAACCCCCTGGTAATACAAATAGCATTTCCTCTGCCTTCCCTGTTATGCCTCTTAATACTCATACAATTACAGAGCATTCTATGCTGAAGAAGATTGTATTGACTCACACTCCATTTCAATCCCAGAAAAAAGCTCCATGGAGACCATACTAGACTTCTCAATTAGTTTCTCCACTAATACATGACATTATGTTATCCATGAACTTTTCCACAGGTTCTGAATCAGTCCCTACGAATTAAAGAAATCAGGCAGTGGGCAAATAAGTAACCATTTTAGGATTCACTGATGATTTCTTCCTTAGAATCTAAGCTGATGTTACATGTATGATGTTAAGCTGATGTTACATGTATGCATTTTAAAATACATTTCTTTTATTAAAATACCCCAGAGACAGGCAGTGTGATAGTTACCATCATTTACAATATGCTCTATTTCATTTATTCCAACTATACTTCTAAAGTATGTTACGTTTAACAGAAGGGATCTAATATATTCCCATTGTTTTACATCCAAAATGAGGAATTCTAGAATAGTACTAGGCCATGTACTATTCCAAAAGTATGGAAATATATTTTTTTAGTTATATTTTGATATAATTTTATTAACGCTTCTTCAGGAATATTCTTAAAATGCACTATTAACACGCATGTTAAAGGATTTTAAGTTAATTACAAATGTAGCATAAGCCAAGTGATATGGTAAAGCTAAACCAAGCCTTAAAGAATTTAGCCTAACTCCTTAGTTGTATAGATGAGAAAACAGTATGGGTCACCGGCCTATCCATGACCCTAGAGCTAGACTGTGACAGCAATGGGACTAGAATGTAGCTTTTCTTTCCACTACACTAAGTCTCATTTGGTCCTTTCCTTCCAATTGATTTCTCACCTCATCACTTCTTCAAAAACCTTTTTTGCCATTAAGAGGTTTGCACAACTAAAGCAAGATAAAACACCGCTCTGGATTTTATCTGTACAATCCAAAGAAATGGAAGGATTTAACAAGAAATCACACAAAAAACCAGGGAGAGCACACACCAGGCAGTCATCAAGTGATAACTATTATTATTCGTTATCATTAGTATTATTACCACAAGGAAGGCAGTGAATTTTTTTAAAGGTTACATATTAGCATCCTAGGCAGAATCCATTTGAGACATCAACTTGCGCTCAATTATCCTTAGTCGTCTTTTCGGCTGTAACTTTACACTATGATTTATGACCCACCCACAATGACCTTGATTTTTTTTTTCCTCCTGTACTTTTATGGACTGCTATACTGCAATATTTTCGAGTAATAACCGGTCGGGTTCTCTCAGCCCTAGAGATACAGACATCCTCCACTGAGTCACAAGGGATTTTAAAATGTGACCCAAATATAGCTTAGGAAACCACAACTTTAAATGGACTCTCCACTTAAAATCCTGCGACCTATTTATTATAGCGAACGGTAACAAGTGCACACTGCTGTCACCCACCCATAAGCCATTTTCTCAAAATCACTCTTGGATCTGGGGGAGGGAGGCAAAAGGTCACTAAAGGAGCCAACTATCCCCGGCTAGTCCTCGGCAGCCACCCACCAGCCATCCGGGAATGAATGAAAGGCTGTGGCATCACAGACCAACGTGAGATCCCTGCGCGGGTCTCTGGGCGGGGGTGCAGAGAGGGAAAACTGGAGTTCACAGGCGATAAACTCGGGGCGCATATTTAATAAATTAAAAAACAAACTACCCCAAATCACCTCGACTAGAGCAGGGACCCACCCCCACCCCCCACTGCCACCCCCACCTCCGGGGAGGGGAAGCTGGCGGCGGCTGCGGGTCTGGCTGCAGCAGCTCGGGGACCGGCCGGGCCCCGGGCGAGCCGCGTTCGGGGCGGGGTACAGCGGGGCAGGTGCGGGAGGGGTTGGGCGCGGGGCTGGAGCGCGGCCAGGTGAGGGCGGCGGGCGCCGGGCGGCGGCGGCCGGGGCCCAGCGGGGCGGAGGCAAGGGGGGCGGCCGCGTCGGGCCCGCGCCTGCACACACTCACCGGCGCCGGCGGGCTCGCCTCTCGCCGCCCGTGCTCTCGCGGCCGCCAGCGGCTCTTCCCCCTCCGCCTCCTCCTCCTCCTCCGGCGCCGCCGCCGTCTCCCAGGCCCGGCCGCGCTCCCCTTCCGCTTCCGGGAGCCGGAGCGCCGGGGCCGGCGGGGTGGGTGTGCGCCCGCCCGCGCGCTGGAGCCACCGGCGGCCGCCGTCGCGGCCCTCGCTCCGCTCCGGGGAGCCGCGATGGGAGCCGCCGAGGGTCGAAAGGGCAGAAATCGCGTCTTGGCCGGGAGGAGGCGCGCCGCGGGCCCTAGGCCGCTGGCCCCGCGGGACCGCCGTCGCCGGAACACTAGTACCTGACGCACCTCGGCGCCTCTGCCCTCCCCCGCTGCAACCTTCCCAGCCGTGCCCTGGCCTTCCTCCTCTTTGTCCCCGCACGCTCTCCGTCCCCCTCTCTGCGCGCCCGCCGAGAGCCCTTCCTTTAAGGATTGCAACTATCTTCCTTTCTTCAGGCATAATGGTCGACAGGCCTCTCTTCCCCTGACGCGCTCTGGGTGTCCCCTGGTACCTTATTTCGGAGTGCGGCCCTCAGCATCTGCATCCTCTGGGAACCTGTCAGAAATGCACCACCTCAGATCTGCTGAATCAGTAGCTGCATTTTAACGAGATCTCCAGGTGATTCCTACACATGGAGCTGCCCCTGCCATCTAAGATGTTTCCTACTCCTATGGGCCACCTCAATTCGCACCCAAACAAGCTTTTCGCCATATTTAAGGAGACATTCCGAAGTTGCCAATTTCCCATCCCTGCAACCTAGGGGGGGAAATGGACTCAACGCGGTGAATAAGCCACCTCCAGGTCGAAGTCAGTTATCTTAACAAACACCAGAGACACTAAAACCTCCCCTCTCTTCCCTCGCCTAAGCTAAACAGTACTCGGGATACAGTGCTACAATGGCTGTGGTAACGTAGAGCTAAGCTTTTGTGCCCACATGCCTCAGGAAGGGATAATGGATGGATGGAAGAATATTACTTGATGCATAAAAGCTGAACTTCTTTATAGGATGGCTTTGAAAGCCCTTCACGAGCTTGTCTCTACTTACCCCTCCAGTCCTAGCTCAAACTAATTTGGTTCCTTTACCCTTCCCTGGATGCCCTTCATCTTTCTCTCTGATGATCTTTAATCCAGACGTGGGAGTCAGCTCAAATGCCGCCAGCTCCGGGTACTCTCCCACCACTGCACTAATATCACACACACACACACACACACTGAATCATATTTTGCACCCTTATGTTACCTTCTATTGCTAGGGGTGTTGAAACAGGTGACCTTGCAATGCTAGGTATTTTTCAACATGTTATGTTCTGGTTTGTGAGTTAATTACAAACACCTTAGGACCTTGGAGACCTAGATCAACATCACCTGGAGACTTGTGCGAGCTCAGCATTCTCCAGCTCCATCACAGATCTACTGCATTAGAAACTTTAGGGGGAAAGCCTAACAATCTGTTTTCACAAGGCTTCCGGGTGATTCTAATACACACCCAAGTTTTAGAACTACTGACCTGGAATATTGTCTTCTACCCTCAAAGGAACTCAATGGTAGGGATTGATTTGACTCACTTTCACCCTCTCCTGAAAGGAAGAAAAGAAAGACAAAGAGAGAAAAAGAAAAAAAGACATGAAAGGAGAGAAGTAGGAGGAAAAACATTCTCCAAATCATGAGGCTCTTAGCACGGGCACTTAAGAAATATAAAGGGTTATCTATCCCTTACACTGAAGCTCAAGTCATAAACATGACCGTATCATATTGCAACCCATATTATTGACTCTTGTGTTATAATGAGACGATAAGGGAGATACGGCATCACGTAATCATTTTGAGGAGCTTTTCTATTTCCTATAAGAATGGGGATAGGATACATGTCATACACTATATTCTCCCTCCAGAATTGTAGTCTACTTCACCCTTCCTATGACTCATTGAAACATGATTCTTAATCAAACTAATATTTATCTGGGAATTGAAAAACCAGACAAGAACAAGCAGCATTACTGCCACTGCCAACTTAGCTCCTCAACAAAGGCACAGGCAGGGCATTTATATGATAAACTCAGCCAACTACTGTGCTTCTGTGCCGTGACTGGGGAGGACTGGATTTGACTGCAATTTCCAAAAGTCAGTGCAAGTGCAGTCCAGAGTTTAATCAACACTGGCTAATAGCCCTTGGCAGCTTTGGGTGGATGGCGTTCTCCACCTGCCCAGCTGGGTACCATGCCCTAAGCACCCACATTTGATGCACATTCATGATTTCTTGGTTGCTTATAGTCATCTCCCCCATCTGTTTGAGTGGCAGAGTGCCCATTCCAGAATAGTCTAATATTCAAATAGTTGTTCTTAACCTCTTTCAGGTTACACATCTCTTTGAGCATCTAACGAAAGCTATGGACCCTCTTCCCAACAAACTGTGACGCACACCCCCATAATTAAATAAACATGTACATATATATTTATAAATAAAGTTTCAGAAGCTGCCCTACTCTCCCATACCTCCAGAGGACCATAGTGAAGTCACAAAAACCAGGTTAAGAATTTGCTTTAGAGTACAGAGAGTAAGTAAAATAAGTAGGTCTTTTTTTTTTTTTTAAATGTCAAAGGTAACTCTAAAAACCACCATGTGCTTAGCAGATAGAACAAAAGCAACGCTACGCAGGGTTACAAGCAAAGTGCTATGGGAATGCTAAAGAAGCAGCTAGCAGTGTCAACAGAGTGGTTCAGGAGTGCTTCATGGAGAAAGTTCTTACATCAAGCAAATAAGAATAGGATTTCGACCGGGACAAAGGGTCCCTCCAGAATAAGGGAAAGTGTACACAAAGGCATGGAGATGCGAAAGTCCAGCGGTCCAGCTGGTGTGGCTCAAATGTAAAATACATGGAAAGACAGAGAAGAGAATGGAAAGATAGAACAGAGTCAGATCATGGTGAGCTTTCAATTCAATGCTATTTCCAATGAGAAGCCAATAAACTTTTGGAGTAAGAGAACCTGAACCAACTTTATTCATGAGTGCCTGGCATCATCAAAATGCAGAGTGGTAGAACATTTGAAAAAGTTCTGCATATCCCAAACTGGAACCTATTGGTGAATCCACATGGTTCCCCTCAACTTTTTAGGGTCGTCTGATGTTTGTTCTGTTAAGTTAAATTAAGATGAACTCAAACGTCTTAGAGTTAGTTAAGCGCCAGTGGAAAACAGATCCTGGTGGATATCCAGTGAATTTAGAATCCAGGATGCTGCAAGAGTTATAATGTATTTGGAACTGAAAGAATGAAAATCAACTTGGCCTGACAAGAGAGAAGCAACCCAGCCACTAATTAGGCTGGAAGGAGAGGCACAGGTAAAGCCAGCTGCAACGTTAATAGTAAACACTGTTTCTGCCAAGGTCATGTGGCAGATGTAAATTACTATAATGACCCCCTCTTTGGGTGATTACTGACCAATGATACCCCAGACCACTTGCTATTTTCGTTTATTAGTAGGGAACCCAATTTCTTGGCCACCTTCACCTCATGATAGCACCCAATCTCTAATTAATTCCCTCTTTTATGATCCCACCTCAAAACAAAAACCAATCCCAAACTGATCCCTGCTTCCTTTAGACCATCTTCAAAATCCTCCAGTGAAAACCCATTGACATTGAGCTCGCTCCTCCTACTTGTCTAGTGGCACTTCTTTGAAGTGCCCTCCCTCCTGGAAAGGCAAGGAAGCTGCTCTTTGTCAGGCTACAGGCTTCTTCCTGGTAGTCGTGAGCTGATTCTGTCTCAGCAATCCACTTGATAATGAAAGCTGTCCATTGTCAGGAGTCAAGTCAGGGCTCTTCAGGGAAGAGGTCTCCTTTTCTGTGTCAATAGCACAATAAAGTAGTTGCCATTCTCGGCAACGAGACTCAGCAGTTTCACACATGGGTTCTTCCAACAGAAGGGGAAGCGATGCTTTGAGTGGGGCACCCTGATCCCTCATCTTTTGGGGAAACATGGGTTAAGGAGGAAAGCAGAAGGAAAATGTGCTATTAAAGACCATTTTTGTGAGTAGTGTTTTTTTGGGTTTTGTTGTTGTTGTTGCGTTTTTTTTTGTTTTGTTTTTTTTTTTTTTGGAAAACAGCTTAAGTAACTGGGCTTAACAGAAATCTAAGAGAGAAGTAAAACGGGTCTAGAAAGGTGATGAAAAGTTCTGCCCTAGTTTCATGTAAAGAACATATTACAAATAGGGTAATTTTGATGATGTTGACCTCACTGCATGAAGGAGAGAGACTGAGGTTTTCATTGAGAGATTTTATTATAAAGACAAAAGAGGGGCGCCTGAGTGGCTCAGTTGTTAAGCGTCTGACTTTAGCTCAGGTGACAACCTCTCAGTTTGTGAGTTCAAGCCTGGCATCAGGCTCTGTGGTAACAGCTCAGAGCCTGGAGCCTGCTTCAGATTCTGTGTCTCCCTCTCTCTCTGCCTCTTTCCTGTTCATGCTCTTTCTCCCTCTCTCTCTCTCTATCTCTTTCTCTCTCAAAAATGAATGAACATTAAAAAAAAAAAAAAAGACAAAAGAGATGGGTGGAGGGGGCAGGAGACTGGGGTTGTCTCCAAGACATAAAAATAGGAAAGAAGAAGACAAGGTTAGAATTCAGAGTTTAGGGGTGCCTGGTTGGCTCGGTCAAAAGAACGTGTGACACTTAATCTCAGGGTCATGAGTTCAAACCCCACATTGGGTGTAGAGACTACTTAAATAAAATTTTTAAAATAAAAGGATTTAGAGCTTAAAGTGTGGGCCAGGATCACCAGTAGAATCAAGAGTCTAAATAGATTTCTCTTTGGTAGGAGAAGAAATAGTTACATAATTCTCCAAGTCAGGAACAAAAGAATAGCCAGAAGGGAGCAAGTGGGATGTTTTGCAGCATTTTTTAAAGCTTATTTTATTCACTTTGAGAGAGAGAGAGAGAGAGAGAGAGAGAGAGAGAGAATCCCAAGCAGGCTCTAAGCTGACAGCACATGGCTCTAACTTACGAACCATGAGATCATGACTTGAGCTTAAATCAAGTTGGATGTGGGGCAGCTGGGTGGCTCAGTCAGTTAAGCAGCCAACTTCAGCTCAGGTCATGATCCCGCAGTTCA